GTGGGTGAAGTGGCATTGTTTTGGTCTTTCATATGCCAAACAAATTCCAGCATTCATGGACCACAGCTGATCCGAAGTAACGGCCTTGATCCGATTGCAGTTCGTATGGCATACCAAATCTGAAGAAGAAATCACTAATAGCTGAACCTACAGTTGTAGCTTCCTGATTTGGTATTGCATATGTCTGGCTTCTTGGTGAAATAATCCATCACCACACAAATGTACCTGTTTCCAGCACAAGTTTGGGGCAAAGGACCAGCAATGTCAACACTTACTCTTTCCATTGGTGCGTCAACTTGATATAACTTCATTGGAGCATGTCCCTTATGCTTGGGTCCCCTTTTGGCACAACATGTACTGCAGGTCCTGCACCATTCTTCCACATCTTGCCTCATACCTATCCAGTAAAATCTCTGCTGTAGGTGACTCAATGTCTTCTTAACTCTGAGATGTCCTCCTGTTAAACTATCATGGGATTGACACAGCACAACTTCCTGTAACTTTCTCGGTATAACCATTTGCCAGGTCATCACTTTCCCATCTCCGTGGAAGAATACCATCTTCAAGCCTCAACTGGTGCCATTGTGCCCAATAGTTCTTTGTCACAGGGCTTAAGCTAGACACCTTCTCCCAAGCAGGGCACAAAACACTTGCTTTTAGAAAATCAATTATTGGCTTCAAATCTTGATCTTTCTCCTGCTCTGCTTTAATATTTATACCTGGTTCCACTTCACCATCATCGACTCCTTCAGTCTCTTTAACTTCAGCTTGATGACACTTGGTTAGTTCAACCTCTCTCTTTTAACACTTACTGGAATTTGGCCTTTGTTGTTCCCAAACATCATTTTATCACAATCAATTACTCACTTCCTCAGTAGTAAGTAGTCCAATCCTAGTATGCATGGGTCTTCATTGTTAGCCAAGTATACTTTGTGTCTGTCCTTCATGCCTATGAGCTCAATAGTTACCCACACTGATCCCCACAACCTTGCATAATGTCCTGTCACACCACAGAGCTTCTGGTATTCCTCTGTGATCTAGCATCTTGATACTCACAGGGG